TATATATATATATATATATATATATATATATATATATATATATATATATACTGTCATAACTGAAACTCCTCTCTCACGTGCCAAACGTCTTATGGAATTAGTTGGGTCTTTTCTTATTGAACTTTTTATCTCTAATGTGAAATGTTTATCCCTATTCCTTTTGTCACCTTCTCATCCAATCTCCCTCTCTACTATTCCCCTTTTTTTTAAACTTACAATCAAGATGAGCGGAATAGTAATTGGGACACTTTACTAAGAGCTACAAAGCATGTAGTTTGTTTAAGCCTTAATCTTACCGGTCCTGAAGAGATACGGAAAAAGATGGAGATGATGACATTTAATATTGGGTTTCTTGATATTGAGCACTGAATTTGAGGAATGTCAGCAACAACAAAAATGGAACCTGAAGCGGGAAAAAAATAAAATAATCAAGATGTCGGCGTTCCCAACTACGTCAAAAGGTACAGGAAGGGGCGGTAAAAGTTAGTGGGAATTGAGAAAACATTTTCCTGAAAAATTGTTTTAAGAAAAAGATTTTAAAATTGGAAGAGAAAAAAATGACACAATCAAGATGTTGACATTCCACACTACTTCAAACAAAAGGTTCGGAAGGAAACGGCTCATCAGTACTGGAAAGAGCGATAACAGCTACTGGAATTGAGAAACTAATTTTCCTGAAATTTCGTTTGACGAAAAAAAACATTATATATTTCACCCGGCAGAATTTCTAACTACCAATTCGCTGAATGCGAAATCTTTCCTTGTAAGGAAATCGCTATATTACAATTAGCGATTACATACGACACTTATTATTTAATAGTCCTCCTCGCACTGGTAGCAGAATATGACATAAGCCCGGTTAAAACCGGGGCGCCCAGATGCGCGTATGCACCAAGTGAAAAAGAAATATTGTCCTGGGTATGACGATAAACAACATCCTCGCCATGGTTAAAACGATAAACTACGTCCAACAGCAAGGCCTCTGATAAGGAAGTTTTGTGGAGCATGTTCCCAGATCCCCTCTAACCCGGGGTGGTAGCAACTGTTAGGGTCCCAGCTATGGGTAAACAGCTAACCCCTAGCTGGTGTCAAAACAGTATGAAAATGTAAAATTAGTTTTTAATACCACAAATACTTTGTAAAAAATATTACCAACAATACCTTATTACCAGCAATATAGACGTCTGGATAAACATGTGGTTGAGTAGCCAATGTAATTATTTATGAGTCCGGTTTGGTGAGGAACGCAGTTCCTTAAAGGGCATTTGAATTCATAGATAATGTTTGTTCTTTGTAATTTTGACTTAGTTGGTGTGTTGTTATTTTTGAGGATAAGGTTGGCCGTCTTAAATTTTTTATAATAGATAATAAGTTTATCTTACGTTACACCTATCTGATCACAGCTCCATCAGAACACATTTAAACACACACTCAGATTTACCCGACACTATTATGAACATACTAGTAGAAAACACAAATATATTAACTGCATCCACTTGCAAAAAAAGACTAAAAATAATGGAAGCTCTAATAATAAAAAAGAAAAAGCCAACACTTAACAATATTAACTATGAACAAAGCCATAATGTGCTAACCGTATTCGGAAATTAAAAACATCACTACCACACACTGAACATACACAGAATGCACACACTCTACTAAGCTGATAATCGAATCATCCTTGATAATGGCTAACGGTATAGCCGAAAGCGCTCGGAAATATAGAACATTCGGACAGTTCTTACACACCCTTTGTCCAGAAAAGAAAGATCTTGTCAGAACACAAGAAAAATTAAATAAAGTACCTTGTCTGTCGTTTTTAATGAAACATGCTTAAAGGAAAGATTGCTGCCTAAATATACAACTATATATATATATATATATAT